ACAGAAGACTGAGCTGCGACTGGATGACTGAAAATTTCAATTCTAAATCAAAAAGAAAAAAATTGTATAGGTCTTCTGGACGGGTTCTTCTCTAATGAAACGTTTCGTCTCTCCTCCAAGAGACTTCTTCAGTCTGAGAGTTTCAGGCAAAATTCAGGCTTTTAAGCCCTGCCTCCATGTGACTGATACTCACATCACATGGTTATCGTTGACACCTAATTAACCATGTGATGTGTCACATCACGTGATAGCCAGGTGATGTGAGTATCAGTCACATGGAGGCAGGGCTTAAAAGCCTGAATTTTGCCTGAAACTCTCAGACTGAAGAAGTCTCTTGGAGGAGAGACGAAACGTTTCATTAGAGAAGAACCCGTCCAGAAGACCTATACAATTTTTTTCTTTTTGATTTTTTACCTGGATTACTGAGATGCATCAGGACATTCAATTCTAAATGTTTGGTTTATCTGGAAGGCAAAAAAAGTCCTGATGGATTGTGTGTTTATATTCTACAGGTTCTAATTGCAAGGACAGCAAAAGTAGGTAATGTGTATTTTTTTATCATAAAATCTGGGCTCTTTTCCTACCAGAAAAAGAGTTTTGCTTGCACAAGCTGTCAAACAATATTTTTTCAGCAAACAAGCAGGTACATTTGTACAGAAAAAGTTTTTCATCATGTTGTTTTTACTATTTTTTAATGCTTTTTCCTAACCTTCACTTGTTTATTTTAACAAAAGCACGTTGAATGGTATTGTATCATATGACTCTCTGGATGATGTTTCACCTTTTTTGTTGTCAAAATAAGTGGAGTTTTATGAGCCTTAATTAAAAAAAATCTGACTATTTAAAATAAAATAAATACATTTAGAAGGTTTTATGTGTGGCTTAGTGTTAATCAATATTTTTTTCATTTTCAAACCAAAAGTTATGTGATTTCATGTTTGTTGCAAGGAAATAGGTAAAGACAGTAAATTATTTAATGTTATTCAGGTTGGCCAGAAGAGGGCGCTGATGCCAACCCACAACAGAATCAGTAAACCGTGTTCATTTAATTCAAAATATGATTTCAAATGTTAAAGTCTTACAAACACCTACACCTACTAATTTGTATTATTTAAGCTACTACTTTATAGGTTTAAATAATGCAATTGTTACTGTTAAACAATTTCTGCAGGTGTCAAGTTTCTTACTATTTGCTCTAAATCCAAAATTTAGTATTTGATAGAAAGATCAATCATAAACAACGTAACTGGTTTTAGACATTCATACATGCAGCTGAAATGGAGGACATAAACCTAAATAATTAGCTAAATCATTGTTCTTTTTATGATTTCTGTCTATGTTCCTGCGTAGACCCCTCTGATAAAAGTCCACGGTGGTGAAGCAGCGAGGGCTTTATGTTTTGTGGAACATGCTCTGAATGTGGCTTCCTGTTCAGCAACCTTTTTATTTAAAGCGAGTAAAGTTTCTATTACAGCGGGTAAAATAAGTATTGAACATGTCACCATTTTTCTCAGTAAATATATTACTAGAGGTGATAATG